ACCCTGAAACAACCTCTGGGCTGATCTAAGTCAGGGCATGGCTAACTCACAGATCGAACCCTGAAACAACCTCTGGGCTGATCTAAGTCAGGGAATAGCTAATGGTACAAAATAAAGTAGACAACAGCTACTAACCTTGGAAAGTCACCTTGAACACGACAAACATATTCCTTTCGGATTCGCCTCTCCCTGACCTGCTCCTCAAGCTCTTGTGCCTTCTTTAAAGTCCTAACAACAGAAAGTGATACATAGTTTAGCTAAGAGGTGTTTTTAGCAATGTTTTAGGGCTTTATCAGCATGGTACTTCAGGTATGGTACAAAACAATCATTACCTAGCCTATTGACCTTCATTAATATACAATGCTGTATGCTGTATGCAATATGCAATATGACACATGACGTTTTTAAGCAAAAACGGTTTTCGATTAAGCACTTGTTGTGTAACAGCACTTAATATCTCTATAAAGCATCAGTCATCATCATTCATCATGATCATTACCATCTACCACCATCAATCATCATTATCATGATCATCATTCAAGTATCATAGACTATAGACTCTAGACTAGGTATGTGTGAGTATGTGTATAGCTAGGGAGAGTATCACAGCCTTGGTCCATTAGTGGGTTTATGATAGACTCTAGACTAGGTTTGTGTGAGTATGTGTATAGCTAGGGTAAGTATCACAGCCTTGTACTCTGTAGAGTCCCAATTAAGTTGCTCAATTTTGTTGAGTGTATCATAAACAAAAAATCGCACAATCTTCTCGTACAATTCAGAATTCTTAGATACTTGTGATGTTTTGAAAGTTCTCAAGTTGAACTCGCCTAAAAACTCATCCAATTTTGAAAACTTTCAAAACATCACTTGTATTTATAAATTCCGAATTGTACTAGAGATCATGTGATTTCCTATACATATTTTATCAAAGAGATAATAAAATTGATTTACTTTGCAAATATCAAGATTCCAGAAGTCAGTCGATCAATCCTGTGTACAGCTGTGAAGGGAATGAACAAGGAATGAAAAAGGTACCACAGGACATAGTTGATATATATATATATGTTATTTACTGGCCAGGAGGTCCGGATAGGCAAAAGGCCGAGGTCCGTTTTCAAGACCAAGGGCACAGTTTTTCCCTATCCGGACTGACTATAGGACGGTAAATAACTTATTTATTTTTTCCCCGTATTTTTTTTACTTGTTTTTGTAATGGTTTTGTTTTGTTGTTTAGTGGCAAAGGATACCGGATCGCAAGCGCAGGCAGATACTTACAAAATACCGCCCGCTCAAACAGCCAATCAGAATGCACGATCTTTTAAGATACCGGACCGGAAAAAAATAAGACATTGTAATAAAACACTGCTGGGAAAAAAATAATGAATAAGTAAATATACAAAGAAATAAAGAATTAATGAAATAAAAGAAAAGAGTTTAGGTAAAGCAGGACAAGCTGCTATTTAATATTACACTGAGCCTGAGGGGGATAATTGTTGTCGCATAATTTTAGACTTGAATATCAAAAAAAGTCGAAATTCAGGATAAGACAACATTTTAGTATTGCTTCCATTCTGGAAAACTTTGGAAAACCTCATAATCAGAGCTATAGCAGTGGTTATCATCTCAGAATCACCGGTTGCTTGACCAATCACTGCTGGAGAAACTGTATATTCAAGTCTAAAATTATGCTAGAAAACTTTATTTTGAAACACTGCTGAAAAAATAAAGATATAGATATACAAAGAAACAAAGAATTAAGAAAAAAAAGAAAGAAAAGGAAGGAAAAGAAAAGAAATGAAGAAAAGAAATGAAAAGGAAAGGAAAGGAAAGGAAAGGAAAGAAATGAAATGAAAAGAAATGAAAWGAAAAGAAAAGCAGGGAAAAACCACCATCAAAAGACAGATATTTCAGTCTCGGCAAAATCATTGTTTCATAGGCCCAACATCGTGATATCACAGCCACTTTTTTCCTGGCCCTTTGATGAAGACAAGCTCATCAACACGTATTGTATAGTTCCAGAAATTATCCATACCCCCCTCATGCAGGTAGACCCCCCCCCCTACCCCCAGAAATATCAACTTTCTTCCATACAAACTCTGTAATTTTTGTTCTTTCTCTGACCCCTTACCCTTCGGAAATTCCTCTGTGGGGTGGGTATGGATAATTTCTGAAACTACACAAAGGGTTCATGCTGAGGTAACCACTTCAAATTCAAGGACTATTAAAGGGGTATACAAGGACCCAAAAATGAATTTTGAAATGAGTATGTTCAGCTAACTATGCCAAGGTTTTATACGGTGGTTGCACATGGCCAACTTTCAGATTTTCCGATCTTTCTGACTAGATCTATTTCAGAGCCATGCAAGTAATGATCGAAGCAAAAATTCAAGGAGTTTTCGAGGACTTTAGCTAAAATCATAAAATTTAAGAGATTTAAATTTCAAGTTCACTTGAAAAAGTGAATTAAATTCAAGGAGTTTTCAAGGAGTTTAAGGATTAGCACGAACCCTGTACACATTCAAAGTAAATGTTAAGTTAAGTTTCAAACCACTTACTATAAAGATTAGTGAGACCATATTCTTTACCAAGAAGAAATACAACAGTATTATGTCTGTATCGACCACAAGGATGTACCTACAATGATACAAAATGCAGTGTTCTAGTGCCTATAGTTACATGTTAAAGCAACAAAAATAGAGTCTTGGACCAGGGAAATTGGAAGTTTGAGCTTACTGTCCAAATTCTTTTTTGATACGAGACTGGAAAGATGTGGCATTTAGCCGGTAAAGTTTGGCTGTTTGAGTCCGCCATTAAGCGACTGTGTTCCTGGCAACTTTTAGTGAATCGAAAGGAAGTGATGTCATACACGCCACCCTTCAAAATTCCCGGCTTTACACAATGTGTAATTGCAACCAAATTTCGACTATTTTTGATTTAAAAACAAGCCTTAAACCAAGTCATGCCTTCTTACAGAGAATGCTGTAGAGTCAGTGTGGATAAAAAGGATGCCAGTTGCGCATATGACGTCACACATAAATTAAAAATCACTGCTCATAGAAATGGCGGACAAGCTTTTAACAATTTTTGGAAGTAGAATTCAGACGGGAAAAGTTTCTTTTTTGAACCAATTATTGTTTATTGGTGAACATTATAACCTATTTTAGCATCAGGGTTTTTTTTGCATCATTAATATTTTCGTAAGACTAGCACTTTAAGGAAAGACTATGGGACACAGCCTCAAGTTCTACAGAAAATTAGAGACGCCCATGGCTCAAGATAACACTGACTCCAGTATTTAAAACTACTTGTTTTGGACGCAACTTTTACTTATAGCCATTCTCAATCAGGCGCTCCACTCTAGCAATTGTTTCTGTTGCAACGAAAAAGCTTTTGGTGGACGTCAATCAAGGCGTTTCCATGACATTCTATAGACAAGTGCCCTTATAGCTTTGTGTTTTCCGACAATGTTATGGGAACGCCTTGTGATTGATGTCCACCAAAGCCTTCTTTGTCGCGACAGAAACAATCACTAGAGGGAGTGTGATTGAGAATGGCTGTAAGAAGACAGCTAAAGAACTAACCAAAATGTCAAAACTTTTTAATTGCATAGGTCAATAAACCCTTACTTCCACCAAGAGAATTACTTTGAGTTCGTAAAAATATTACTCATGATTTATATAGTGCTCTTTTCAATATGGGTTAGCCTTATATTATGTCAGTGTCTAAATATTCACAAATACCAACAGTAAAGTAAAGAATGCACAACGTCAACAATACAAGCACTTTGAAATGCCACGGACCTTCACTAGAACACATGAATATTCTACGCAAAATTGAAGTAAACCATGCAAAAATGAATCTGAAGTCAAGGACAACAGTGGTAAATTACAAATTTGATAAAGGTCTATCAATTTCAAGGGACTTCACTGTATTTGGCTACAAAAACTTACTGGTATTGACGAAGGCTTATTAATGACAACTACATCTTCATTGGATTCTATTATCTCAAGGGGTTCTGCTGTCACTGGAGGTTCATGTCTGATGAATTAAGCAACCACAGAGTTTAGCTACAATACTATTCAATACTTAACGTCGCTCAGAGATGTGGAAGCCAAATTTTGTCCCACCCTCCCCCCCCCAATCCTAGTCCTGGTGGAAGTGGCGTTCATTTCCCTCTAGCTTCCTCATTATCACTACAGTTGCGGATCTCCCCCCATTACTTAATTACTGCGATGTGATAATGAGTATTCAGTGAGAATATTTTACCATACAATAGACTTTATCAACATTATTAAAATATAATAAGTACAGTACATAGACTGTATAGCAGCTGCCAGAGAAGCCTTCTCATACATTTAGCTAGTTAGACCCTATTGAGCTGCACCACTGCTTTTTTTATAAAAATCAACAACTGGGCCCACGGACTGATAGCTTTGGCATAGCTAACTCACAGATTAAACCATAAAAACAACCTCTTGGCTGATCTAAGTCAGGGCATGACTAACTCACGAATAGAACCCTGAAACAACCTCTGGGCTGATCTAAGTCAGGGCATG